GTGCGTGTTGTTAGTGGATTGTACTCAGTCATGGGTTTGTTGCCCTTGTTGACCGACTTGGCATGTGATGACTTTTTCTATGTGCTGCTAGAAAGCCCGCGGGTTGGGAAGCCGTAGGCTAACCCGTGTGGCCTGTCATCGCAAGTCAAAAACGTTAGGCTCTAACCTGCCCCATTGCGAGGCGGTTTAGGTTTGACCCGCGGGCTTTGGCACACTATGAAACCCCTAGTCATGAGCGTTGTTAATTTTTTTTATTTTTAGGAAAAGCCCCAACATGTAATTGACAATATTATTATGGCAAATTAAGATACGCTTTAGTATAGGGTCTAATCATGTTTGAAGACTAAAGAAGATTGATTGATCAGAGAAGCCAACTGAAGCGTCTCTAGATCAAAGCCGTCAAAGACCTATTAAGGAAGTTAGTGTGTGCTGGCAGACGCGTTTATAAGGTGATATTTCTAGAAAGACAATCGGCGAATCACCTCTGTAGGTGTGGACGAAATCTCCTTAAAGAATGGGTTTGATTCTCTTTACAAGTCTTGCTACATATTCCAACCAGAGTTATTTATGGAGAGAGCAGATTCAAAAAGATTTCAAGAGATTCACTAAAGACTGATCTTTTATAAGTAGACCTAAAGTTCATGGTAATTTCGAAGATGAACTTGAGAAGAATCAGCTGTGCTAAAACAGTGGATGCGAAGATCACTCAGTTGTGGGAACAACGTGAGACTGCGTCAGTGAAGTGGACTGCATCAGAGTTAGCTCTCCATTGAAGGGATTTCATTGGACTTCAGGATGCATGGCTCTCCGACTTCAACAATCCACTAAACCTTTGTAGACTGGGTACTGACCTTGTGTGGGTCGTAATTGATTGTCTGAATCAATCTGATCATCAACCGGTTATGAAGAAAGTAAATCGAAATTATAGATTATAAGAATTTGCAAACTTTCAAGCGTGATGAGGCTAGTGACGTGATGAGGCTCGTGAGGAAAAACTTTAGAAAGTCCACTATCATTGCGAGCCTCATCACAGCGTGATGCAAGCTCGTGAGGGAAACATTAGCAAGACACTTTCTACTATCATGCATGATATCATGACGTAATGAGGGGTCGTGAAGTAATCTTCTACAAA